ATAGCAAGAGGTGAACGGGCTGCTATGCCGGCATAACCCTGATTCCTGCTTTGAATTTCTGCCATTGCTTCTCTACGAGAGCATCGTTTTCTTTCAATGATTTCAAGCCCCTGAAGTTCCTTAGATCTTGCGGGACAGTTAGGATCGTCTGCAGCGTGATTTGCTTTGCACAAACAGCGTGTCTTATTGTCCGATTCGCACTCAGCAGTACTATGACCGGCCCTGTATATGGCACCGCATATGCGGCATCGAGTGTCCGATCGACAACCTTTAGTACTGTGTCCGAAGTGCCAGCATTTAGCACATTGCAACGGATGGGGAGCTAGAGCTTCGACCCTATAGATAAGCGGCCATGCCTTGATCTCTGAATAGCGATCTGTTCCAGCGCATGTGGCAATTACAGTTTCAGTGGGAACTTTCTGTTTGTTTTCTTGTTTGGTACAGCAGTAAACAGAAATAACACCTGCTGGAGAAAAGATGTCCAAGACTTCTGCTGGACTTAGACTTGCGTCTACACCCCGAACCGATCCTTTGCAGCAAGCTAGATGAGGTGGGATAAAAGAGCTCACCGGATGTGATGCAAAAGTAGTGCACTTCAGTAGGTCTTGGATACAAGCCTTGTCTGGCGAGCAGCATAATATCCCTCCGTGTCCAAACTGACGAACCTCTGTAATCAGTAGGGAGTGGGGAGTGATCGCACGAAGTTTCGTTTAGATTGCTTTAGGATTCTTCATATGGATGAACCCACCAGTGGTCGGCATCAAAGAGACAGGAACGCTACGGGTTCCATTGCGGAGAAACAACTCCAAGGGCAGATCCTGAGGGGGAACAGAGGCTGACCAGAGGGTAGGCCTCTGTCCCAGAGAAGAAACAGACATGAAAGAAGGTGAAGTTACACTTAGCAATGCACTCAAAACAGTTGTAGAACAAGAGGTAGATCTAATAAAATAAAAGTAACTGCCCGCTACTTGACAGCAACTCTGCAGATGGAACAAGGAACGTTAGGTCGAACAAAGAACTCTGCCGTGGCGACCCCACCGGTATCATTCCTTTTCTGTGACGTTGAATGAAGCTCGCTTGTAGGTTCAGGTTGCCTGTTCAGGCACCCCTCTTACCCCAGAGTTTTCGCCTCCTGTGAATATTTTAACCAATGTTTGAAAAAAAAAAAAAATTGAAAGCTATAATTATATATAAATAAGCTTATACTTATCATTACAGACACATTACAAGATTTGCCGTTTATGTTTGCTAAGTTATAATTTCTCTTACCACTAGAAATGTTCTGTGCCACTAGTTTGCCAGTTATGACATAATGCATGGTGTCGGGACTAATTAAAATAAAATGTTTCGAAGAACCTACATTTTAAAAGGTGGTGTCACATATAGTCCAATCAATGTAAGTTCTAGGTATATTCGCAAATAAAAGTTTGCGTTTTTTTTTACATCATATATTATTTCCGCCAAAGTATTGAGGATATCACAATCTAAAGATAAAATTGTCATTGCATCAAAATTCCAAACATGATAGCAGCTTCACAAATCATGTACTTGTATTAGAGTGTACTAGTACACTCTACTTGTATGTAGGGCAAAAGACAAATCACTTGATTAGCACTTACTTGGCCGCGGCGTTGCACGAAATTTCGGTGGACTATTGACTCTGAGGATATAAAGAGAAGCGGATGGTCCGAAGCGTAATACCATCTTTTTTACGTGGTCCAACTCTTGGACGCCGTGCTGTCAAGTGACAATACACAGCGACGTGATGCGGATTGACTACGCATGTGCAGGCTTGAGCAAAAGTGTGCAGACCACAGGATCAGCGTGGCGAAATGCATAGACGTGCTATCTACTGACGTCACAGCTGCTGCAGTGCACATGCCCGTCCTGTCTTCAGGTGGCTTCAACAATTCTGCGTGCTCATAAGAACGCACCAGTGTGCAGATGCACTGGACTCACTCTCTGAATTTCGTGCCGACCAGTTGTGCCCCCGCAATCTCCGACGACAGCGCAGCTCAGGCCGACTGGCTCGCCCTACGCCATCTCATGCCGCCGACAAGAGGTCTGGCTGAATGGTGCCCCGTCCTCGGACTTCTGCGACCGTGTCCATCTTTCCTATCTTCTCCTTGCTTCTGGGTGTCGCTGTCCCTGCGCCACGCTCTCTCATTCCCCCTCTCTATCTCTATACCTTTAATCCTACCCTTTTAATCCCTCCTTACTCCCATCCCTCGTGAGCTACTGTTGTCGAAATATGATGCAGACAGTTACGGAGCTCACTTTTTCTCTTATTTTTTTTCCTTAAGAATCATATAATAAGATGCACTAAGGCACAGTGTACACCGTCAACAGGTTACCTATGAACCTGGTGACCAACTACAAATGAAGCCACAAAACTTCAAAATCGGAAAAAGGCAGAGTGGCAGAAACAGAGAGCAGTTAGCCAAGTATTTACCAACTTTACTGATGACCAAGTTAAGGGTTTGGACTCCCATTAGATGGCATGGTCTCCGCGAGCAACTCCTGAGCAAGTACGTCAGACCCTACAAAATACTATAGTAGGTGAACAAAGTCAACTGTGTTGTTGAAAAATTCTAAGACGGGCGCGATCGTCAACATCCCAGCGCCGTTCACTGTGCAGAGAGATTGTACGTACATGTCATCTGCCTAGCAGCGATACTTATCATATTACACCTGCACAGCAAACTTGTTTTGTTTTCTTTGATATTGTCGGTTAGTTCCCGAAGAACTGTGTGATTTTTTTTTTTTCTTATTCCAAACCACAGACCACATTTTATTTCACGCATGTGCACATTCGGGCCCCTTCAGTGTACCCCTGTGCGTGAGCATCGAGTCAATACCCCGTTGGGAGAGGGAATGATGGCACCTGTTGTTGTGGGCCAGCAAGCCATTGCCAGCCATGAAAGGCAAAGACGAGGAGTGATAGCCCTTTGATCACAATTCTCATTCGTGTCTTGCTGTCCCAGTGTTTGCAGCCCCTAGAGCGTAATAACCAGTGTTACTGGTAATCGGCTACAAATCTTCATTGCAGCGTATGTGGCTGGCCTAAGTGTGCCACGCAAGTCCAGCTACTAGTCCACCTTGAAAAAATGCTGCTCGAGGGTATTATAAAAAGTGGCACTACTTCCTGCAGGCCCACTAAAGAAAGAAGAGGAAAAAAGTACTACCTCCGATGGTCCAAGCAAAAACAACTTGTTAAGCATTTCCTTACAAAGGACCAAGGAGGAATGTTATTGCAATTTTTATTTTGTATAAATAACCAAGATCCCCACTTTAATCCATCGAGAGAAGCTTTTAAGTACCCAGAGTTACGTCTGCACATTACTACATCTGCACACCACACGATCAATAAGACTATAATTTATTATTTCTCATGACATGGAGAAGGAAGATTCCAACTAAGGAATCTCCAGAGAAAAGTTTGGTTAGCTACCCTACACTGGGAAGATGAGAAGTAGAATAAGCAGAGAGATAAGGGTAGATAAATTTCACTCAAAAGCGTGGTTTCAGGCAAGAATGCCACATGGACAGCACACACACCATAATGCAGCAATACAGGATTGAAAGTTCACATAAGCATAATATGCATTAAGGTTTTGCTCCACTCCAATACCAACTGAATATAATGCAAAATGCAACTATTTACAATGGAACTGCAGCCTTAAAGCAATCGTGAAAATTAAGCGTGTGCAAATATTAGGTTTCGAATAAAAATTAAATTTTCAATCTCCTTATTCAAAGCACCCTCAAACCGAAAACTGATTTTCCTGAACATTCGGCCACGGCGAAACGTACCTTTGAAGATGCCAATATTCCAACCAATTTGAATATTCAAGGAAGTGACTACTCGTACTCATTTTTAAACTAAAGCATCGCCAATATGTAGCCGTTAGGTCAAGTGGTACTTTGAGGTTTCTGCACACTTATGCTACATTCCTAGCAGTTGGGTGTGTTTTGCTGCAATAACTGAAAAATACACGTCACATGCAACACCTTTGCACTCTCAGCCTGATCAGCACACCTAGGTATAACGGCGGATTTCTCTTTTGTCAAGCACTACACCACAGGTCTCGTGCCGAATATGTACTTTCATATTCTATAGCAATTACCACATAGCAGTCAAGATAGTTACATAAATGCTTGGAGAAAAAAATCTGCAATGTGCACTGACCGCATTACATAAGGGAGCTCTCAGACGTGTTACAGCCTTTAAGGATACTCACTTCATGTTGAGTAGTCTTACCTCGGGATAGTGCCAGTTAATTTATCCAATTCCGAATTTGTTCAAAGTGCTTTGCCACAAACACGTGCAACATGCTGCAGCTTAAGAACATGGTGCAGTTGGATGGATTAGAGCAAAGAAATTTTGAACTTTGCAAACAAATTTAAATGGTCTCTTACAGGTCAGGTCATGTTAGAGACCAATAGGACAAACTGAAGTGGACATGATAGGGTGCTAACGCGTTCAGTATTAACCGACTACTACACGGCATGTATGAAACTTCGAAACACTAGATGCTTTTTATTGGCAGCACAAGATTTTTATTTCCCCAGCATAGTGCTTCATATAGGACTTGAATTAGAAGATTACAGAAGAGGGGGGGGGGGAGGAGAAAAAGAATGCCTAGAAACAAATATGAAATGAACTCGATGCCAATATTTACAGCTAGGATGTCTGGTGAGCTTACACTTTTCTATGTTGAAAATTATTAAGCTAACCAGTTAGGCTGGACATAATATGCTGAATAAATATGCATTGCCAAAACAATTCTCTCATAGCAGTATGTGGCACATTGAAGTAATGTGCGCTCTATCTTTATGCGACCAAAGTTTACACAATAAGGATTAGTGGTATGCCCTATGCAGTACGAATAATGATTTCATGATGTTATAGACAACGCCAATCATAATTTGCTCTCTGCAAGAGATGGATTCAAGGCAGCTATTCCAAGCAGCGTTCACACAGCTGCACAAGGTGTAAATAACCATGTTAAATAAAGAAAGCTTTATTGTTCCATAAAAAAAAAAAACACTCTGAAAAAAAAAAATGAATGCCTAGGCTTCTGCTTGGGCCTCCTCATCGTCTTCAAATTCCCCTTCTTCATCAGCTGTAGCTTCTTGGTACTGTTGATACTCTGAAACCAGATCATTCATGTTTGACTCCGCCTCTGTGAACTCCATTTCATCCATTCCTTCTCCAGTATACCAGTGAAGGAAAGCCTTGCGCCTGAACATGGCTGAAAAAAAGAAAAAAGCGCATTGTGCAAAAAGGAGTGAGCACACAGAGCAACAAAAACGACGACCAGAGGTCGAAGTTGATGTGGTCAATCCCAACATTTTGATTGATTACCGTATTTATTCGAATATAAGGAGAGGTTTTTTTTTCCAAAATGCGCAGTCTCAAAGTCATACCCCGCCTTATATTCGAAGCTCAGTATACCAATATGCCAATTTTGGTGTGACAGTTTTGTTTTCCACTTTTCAATTATTTCCAAGCTTCCAAAAGAGCCCGGCAACACTGTTGGAAATGTAACAAAGAGATCAGAATAAAACTCACAAAATTTTACACAAACGCAGGTGGCAAAGAGTAAATACTGAGTTTCGGTCCCTGCAAGGTTATTGAATAGCTCGCGATACAGCAGAGGCCATGGCAACGGACGCCTTCGACCGTGTGAACATGCCGAGCCAGCAGTAGCCGCTCCAAGCCAGTAGTAGCCCCAGCCGCAAAGATTGTAAACAAGCCGGGACACCATTTTGCATTTTTTGTTGGAGTGCTGGAGTCCCTGCTGCAAGATTTTCTTTCTCAGTGCTTGTTTCTTATTTATGCGACCAGCGCAATGGCGAGTAGTCGTTGCCACTACGATGCAGCCTCCAAGAGGAAAGTCGTGGCAGAGGCGGAAGTCACTAGAAACTGCGCGGAGGGTCGGAAGTTCGACGTTCCGGAAAACAATGTGCGACGTTGGCACAAGCAGAAGACTGCGCTCTTAGCATGCGCCACTACGAGGAAGGCTTTCCGTGGCCCGCGAATGGGAGCGTTTCCCGAAGTGGAAGAAGTGCTGACGGACTCTGTCAAAGAGAAGATGCCGCGGTTTGGCCGTTACTGCCGGCATCGTGCAGATGAAGGCGCGCAAAATCTCGAGAGCGCGTGGCAACCCCGCTCTCAAGTTCAAAGCCAGCCGGGGCTGGGTGCAGAAGTACATGAAGAGGGCCGGGTTTTCGTTGGGAAGGCGGACCTCCGTGATGCAGAAGTTGCCAGAAGACTACGAAGAAAAACTTATTTATTTTCAAAGATATGTTATCGGCCTGCAACACGACCACGACTTCCTACTCGGGCAGATTAGCAATGCCGACAAACTCCACACATTTTTTTTGACATGCCGTCGGCCCAAACAATTCACCAAAAAGGTGATCTCCAAGTAATCCTGCGCACTACAGGCAATGAGAAGGCTCGGATAACCGTGATGTTAGTATGCACCGCCGATGGGTGGAAGTTGCCCCCCTACATCATCCTGAACAGAAAGACCATGCCAAAGAACGAGGTGTTCCCGCAGAACGTCCACATTCGTTGCCAGGAGAAGGGTGGATGACTGAAGAGCTTGTTCTGGACTGGGTAAAGTCTGTGTGGTGCCGAAGACCTGGGGCACTGCTCGCCCGAAGGTCAATGCTGGTCCTCGACGCATTCCGCGGCCACCTCACGGAAGGTGTGAAGAAGCTCATCGACAACCGGACGGAGCTGGTCGTCATCCCGGGAGGCCTGACAAGTCAACTACAGCCGCTTGACGTTTGCCTTAAGAAGCCCTTTAAGGCACATGTCGGACGACTGTACAATGAATGGATGGCGGTCGACACTGTGGCCCCGATGCCGTCGGGACGTCTAAAGCGGGCGTCCCCATCTATGCTCGCCCAGTGGGTGGTCGACGCTTGGGCAGCGATCCCCGAAGCCATGGTTGCGGCATCGTTCCGCAAGTGCTGCATTTCAAATGCTCTTGATGGCACAGAGGACGACGACCTCTGTGAGTGCTCAAGTGATAAGGAAGATTCCGATACCACCACCTCTGAACATAGTTTCTAAGTTGCACTTTCGTCTCGCTCCGAATAAATATCTTTGTGCACAGATAGTTTATGAATATTTGGTGTCTGCTTTGCTGAAAGGTAAGGAATTTAGTTGCCTTTTTTCTTTCGTCTCTTCCGCCCTATATTAGTGCGCAAACTTTTTCTTTTTCTTGGGTCCATCAACTTCCCCCTCGCCTTATATTCGTGACCGCCTTATATTCGAATAAATACGGTAATATGTGGGGTTTAACATCCCAAAACCACCGTATGATTATGAGACGTCGTCGAGGAGGGCTCCGGAAATTTCAACCACCCGGGGTTCTTTAAAGTGCGCCCAAATTTGAGCACATGAGCCTACAGCATCTCAGCCTCCGTCAGAAAATCTTAAAATATAAGGTCAGTACATGAAATTGCCGCTCTATGGACTGCATTGAGTAACTAGAATGATGGCTGCCACGAATTTTCATGTAATTTTCATTGGCCTTGTGAGGACAACTGGGTGGCAAAGAGTTTAAATTAAAAAGAAAGGGAGACTTACCAGTGAATTGCTCGGAGATACGCTTGAAGAGCTCCTGGATGGCGGTGCTGTTACCGATGAATGTTGCAGACATCTTGAGGCCTCTGGGTGGAATGTCGCAGACTGCAGTTTTCACGTTGTTGGGAATCCACTCAACAAAGAAGCTGGAATTTTTGTTCTGCACATTGAGCATCTGCTCGTCGACCTCCCGCATGCTCATGCGGCCCCGGAATACCGCAGCAACTGTGAGGTAACGGCCATGGCGCGGATCACAGGCAGCCATCATGTTCTTTGCATCAAACATCTGCTGGGTCAGTTCTGGCACAGTCAGCGCTCTGTATTGCTGGCTGCCTCGGGATGTCAGTGGTGCGAAGCCTGGCATGAAGAAGTGGAGGCGTGGGAAGGGCACCATGTTGACAGCTAGCTTGCGCAAGTCTGCATTAAGCTGGCCCGGAAACCTGGGAACAAGAATTAAGAACGGGATTACAATACAATGCAGATGTTTGAGAATTTTACTCAGCAGTAAAAGCAGCTATATTTGCCAAAAAGCTGTATGGCAATGCAGAAGTAGCAAGCATACCTCAGACAAGTCGTAACACCAGACATAGTGGCTGAAACTAAATGGTTCAGATCACCATAGGTGGGTGTAGTCAGCTTGAGAGTTCTGAAGCAAATGTCGTAGAGCGCCTCATTGTCAATGCAGTAAGTTTCATCAGTGTTTTCCACCAACTGATGCACTGAAAGGGTGGCATTATAGGGCTCAACAACGGTGTCCGAAACCTGCAGGAAGAATGGGTAGTGCACCACGAGCTTAACATTCAGAAATTAAAACTGGGGATAAAAACTGAAGGGCCTGGACAATTTTTTTTTTGTGGGGGCAAGCTAAAAATCACAAACCTTTGGTGAGGGAACAACACTGAATGTGTTCATGATGCGATCGGGATACTCTTCCCGAATTTTAGAAATCAGAAGTGTGCCCATGCCGGAGCCTGTTCCACCACCCAGAGAATGAGTTAGTTGGAATCCTTGCAGGCAATCGCAGCCCTCTGCTTCTTTTCGAACAACATCAAGAACAGAGTCCACCAGTTCAGCTCCTTCAGTATAGTGGCCTTTTGCCCAGTTGTTACCAGCGCCACTTTGGCCTGAAAAATGTAGGTGAACAAGAAGAATGAGACTTCCAAGGCAGACAATGCAATTGCCTTCACAAGGCATTAGTGGATGCAAGTTAAGAAGCTCTCTGAACTGCATATAGAACCAGGGTGTCCACTACACGAGCAACGAACATTCGCAGATACCAGGCAAGGATGAAACGCTTCCAGAAATACGGCTGTACTAATGGGGTTCCCTATGAAGTAACAGACCACGAGAATTGCATTTCAGGCTTTCAATTTTGTAGTACTAATCACAGGTCATCTAACGCCCATTCCACATTACGAGGTGCTAAGGCTCCAGTCTTGTATACCCAAATGCTAGGTATGTACTCACCGAACACAAAGTTGTCAGGTCGAAACAGCTGTCCGAATGGCCCAGACCGCACAGAGTCCATTGTGCCCGGCTCCAAGTCCACGAGAATTGCACGAGGCACATATTTACCTCCTCAAGCAAAAAGAAGATCGCCACTTAGTGGCAGCTCAGGCACAGAACAAGCAACATTTGAAGTAGCGTAAAGAAATTCCCAACAGTAATGGCAATCACAGGTAGGCAAAAATTTTAGCTCACTCAAACATAGCTCTTTGGGCTCACTCAGACTAACTCGTTGCCCAATCCCAGAGGGAGCGAATTTCCTGACCCATGATGGCAACTTGCATTTCATTGCACACTACAAAATATGCAATACTAAACTACACATGAATAAAGAGTGATGTGCTGTAAAAAGGAAACAGCAACTAAAATGCCCCCAAGCATGTGGATAAATGTGCACTGTAAGGTTTTCTTATCTCTGAAATGTTTTCATCCAATCAAACTAGTCGATGGGCTGTACGAGCATCACAAGGGTTTTCAAAGCTACTGTTTGAATGTCATGCCAGCTCTTCACAAAAATTTAACCGCACGCACGAGACCAGGAATCTATTCTACACAATAACCTAGACCACAGACATGAACCACAGCTGTAGATACATAAATTTCCCCCTCGATATCGCACTGCCTTATTACGAACTTTTGCTTAGAGGAAAAAAAAAAAAGCAGGAGGAGTTAGGCAGTGTACCACCGAGGTCTTCCAATTCAGAGCAATTTTTGGAGCAGAAAAATTTTATATTTTAGAGCAATCTGGAGCATCAAACTTCAAATCCTGGAGGAAAAGTAAGTTGCATTTACATTAAAGGACACGAAAAATTACTCTCAGGCTCTTGTGAAGAGCTAGAAATATTTAGAGTCATTCAATTGGAATCACCTTGGAAGCCCGCTATATTTTAGTTCAGCATTCTGGAAAAACATAAGTGATTATTTCCGTAGCAAATAAACAGAATACTAATTGAATAAAATTGTACTTCATGATATAACAATATGTAATCAAATACATTTAAGTGGTTAGCAGCAGATATGGTAAACAAACGATGTGACGTACAACGCTAGAGACTCTCGTAGTCCATTTCCTTAAGATGACTTCAAGAATAAAAAAAGGTCTTTTCACGACTGATTAGACTGCTGAACGTAACATGACGTCGTTCAGCTAGTCTTAGCCAACCTCCTCCGGCATTCATCTCTGTGCTGAAACTGTACAATTTAACGAATTTTTTTTTTCGGTAATATTTTTATGTGGCTAGGGCATTCTGTCTAAACTCCAAAAACCCCCTTCCGTGTCCTCTATGCGGATGTGCTAATGGAAGGAATTGCGAAATAACTCTTCTGTATGATGGCCCATGGATAAGGCATATTGGAGGTGTCAACGCGTTCCCACCATTTACGTGTTCTGCGGACGCGAAGGACGGAAAATTAGATCGCGATCTCCAGGCATCGACGTGACAGACATTCTGGCAGCACGCGTGCAGTTATTAGTGAAAATTGCTTGATTACATGCCGTGCAACTCTTCAAACGAACCATCAGCCGTGTTCCTGGAACGGACAAAGTCCGCCGATGAAACGCCGCCACAGTTTCACGCTACAGCGATTGGACAAGACGTCACGAGACCCTGCGGAGAGCGCCTTTAGTCGTCAAGCGGAAATTTACAACAGAGTTGAGTCGGCACCAAACATAGAATCGCGAATTTTAGGTCACACGCGCCGACGGCTGTTTATTCAGCGTAATAAGATAGGTACGTGATTGCCACTTTGGTGGCCCCGAAAACAAGGAGCACATGTTATTGACGTGCCGGCGCGGCTATTGCCGGTCATAGACGCTCACTAATCCGACTTTTGCGCAATTTCCGTTGATATTAACAGAATGGCGCAGTAAATATGATTTGGCGCAGGAGAGGGATCACTGGTTAGGTGCAAAGTGTCGGTTTAGCATGACGATAGTTATAGCGCGAGAACAAAACGACGACACAGAGACAAGAAGGACACGAAAGACACAAGCGCTTTTGTTCTCGCGCTATAACTATCGTCATGCCATACCAACTAGCCCAAGCTGCCACACTTCTATATCGGTTTAGGTTTGGCCCTTCAGTGCTTTAGCGTTGGTCAGAGGTGCTGAAAGCAACGCAAGGGCAGACCCAATGTTGAAATCTCTCCATTTACGAGTAGAGCGAAAAAAAAAAAAAAGGCAAGTACCAGAGGCCTCGTTGTAGTAGACGTTTATGCGTTCCAGCTGCAAGTCCGAATCTCCATGGTATGTCCCCGTAGGGTCAATTCCATGTTCATCCGATATGACCTCCCAAAACTGCAAGCAAACCATATAGAACGCACATGCTATCAAACGTACAGAAGCCCACACACACAAAAAAGCAAGCAATCGTCCATTCAAACGAGACAAAATGCCAAATAGCGCGCCACCATATTTTGAACGACGGAACTACATGGCGGCAACCGGCTTTCTTTGGTAACGGTCAGCATGGGGTCAAACCGCCAACGAAAATATCAGCAGAACTCCGCAAGAATACGTTGACCTGTGACAACTATAGTTTTTGACACTGCGTCAGATTGCAGTTTTCCGTTAAGCCACACCCCGCTCAGAAAGCTGAAGCTCCGATAATTTCACAGTGTACTTACGCATGTGGCGACGAACTTTCACATATTTAGCATTCCTAACGTGCTACCGCAATGCATGGTTGACAGGAATATGAAGAACCACCACAGGCCAACAACTAGGATTTAAATATGTCGGGCGCTGACATTCACACAGAAACGGGTGAAAGGGTGCACAAGGGCGGCAGATTTCATCGTGTAGGGCTGTTTACTTTAGATCCTGACGCAAGTCACTAGGGATGCAGTTCCAACGTATTTTAAAGAACGATTAGGCTTAGAAAAAACAATGGGCAGAACAGAGAACCCCACAAAACGTCGTTGGAGCGTGTTAAATTTGCGCAGAAAAACTGCGCGGCAGCAGAGTTCAACGAAGGCAAAACAAGCTTCCACATTACCTTCGCTCCAATTTGGTTGCCGCACTGCCCAGCTTGGATGTGAACTATCTCGCGCATTCTGAATAACAGAAGACTCGCGGTACCACTCAGTCGAGCTCCAAAATTGTGACTGGCGGTGCAACGTCGGGGAAAGGGTATTTATGCTGGCACTCGTTGCAGCTGAGTCACTTCCGGTCATACGTATTCTCACGCATAAGTGTGGCACCTCTCTTGCGCAAAAAAATCCTGTGAGATTATCCTTTTATGTGGAAAACGAGCTTCTAACGCGAATACTTTTTTGTGCGTAAGTATAAGTGTAAAACTTCAAGATATGAACGCGATTAAAGGAACTATTTTCTTTAGCGCACCCTGATGCGAGCGCCGCTTCACGTACTGGTGCCTTATAAATACATAAATAAAACCCAACGCCTCCTTTAGAAAGATGCCTGAGGAATGGCTTGCGCTCCCAGCGGAGTTGGCCTGCCTTCAGTTTTAAACAAGTTCCGCGCTGTGGCGCTCGCGACCAACACTATCATCACGGCGGCGGGCGGTACCAGCTAAGCGTTTTTCATCTGCGGCGCGCGTCAGTCGAGAGTTGTTCGAGACCTGCAACTGTGCATTACTGTTTCAGAGGCTATGCAAAGTGCTGCGTTGTTGCACCGTCCGCCACAAGTGACGCTAGCGACCAAGAACATTTTAAAATGAAGGAGAGAAAGAGTGCGGCAGCCGTTTTTCTTCTCATGCGGCAGGCATCTTTTCAGAGGAGGCGATGATAAAACCATTCGAAAAGATGAAGCAGAGCTACCTGGCGGGAAGTATGGGCGACGTGACGGCGCGGACTAACGCACGCCGCGGCGAGCCTAAATAACATCAGCTCGTATTGTATGGAACAGCGTTCCTGAAGCCCGGTTTTTAAAGAAGATAAATTTTCTTGGAGAACTTCGACGCTAAAATTTTTTTTTCTGTTTGTACATTTGTCTGTTTGTCCGCGGTAACGATACTTTAAGCGGTACCAAACGATACCTCAAACGGCCAGCCCCATCCACAGCGGCCACCAATATTGCTCAAGCTTCAGCAATCGTACTCGTGCGATTGTCAATTAAAAAGCAATTATTTTTAAATGCAAAGCATTTCTTAGCGAACATCGGCGAGTTTGACCGTATCTATCTAGCCGCCTACGACTTCTAGCTCTCCTGGCCGTTTGGATAATGGGATCTATAACTAAATTTGCTATTCAACGACATCACTGTATGACGACCATAACTGACTAGTCATAACATGAAAATTATGACAAAATGTCATGATTTATATGTCATGCTCTTGCTGCTCCTGCGGTAGTTTCGTTCACATGACATATCGCAAAACTGGTATAGTATGACATGACTGCATGTCGAACACAATTGTGACAGGCCCTCACGTGGAAATCATGACATACGTGTCATGTAAAACATGACCACATGCTACGCTCATAGTGCGCTCGCGGTTGTTTCGCTAGCTTCACATATACCAAATTTGGTGTTACGTGACGTGACTAGATGAGTAAGGTATATGACTGGTGCAAACATGATAACCATGACATGCGTGTCATGTAAGAACACGACAACATACCACGCTCATGAAGCGCTCGCGGACGTTTTGCAAGCTTCACATATACCAAATTTATTGTTACATGACGTGAATAGATGACAAAGGTCCCGCATCGGAGACGCGATGCTCTATGCGGGGAACAGCCAGCCCGTCCTGCGAAGAGCGTGCGCCGAGACGCGATGCTCGACGCAACCATGACCATTAGCCAGGCCACGTTCATCGCTGTGCCGAACGGCTGACCGTGGAGACGCCTCGCCGAGATCCGCGATGCCCTCGGCAAGGAAAAGAACAGCAGGCCAGGCCGCGCCCCGAGATGCAGTACTCGTGCCGGCAACGCCACCCCAGCTGGTAGTTGGACGGCAGTAGCGTGCACAGCCGCGTTCCCCGGCCGGAACCTGGATCGCCTGCGTCCGACGCTTCGGCCCGCTGTCTTCCGTCTGCCGCTGCTTCGGCTCGTCCCCAGCCACAAAGCTTACCGCCACGTAATGGTCACACGTGGCCCAATCGTGGTACGCCACCTCCATGGGCCACCACAGGTGATCAGCTGATTGGCTGACCTCACGCGCACAGTTAGCTCGAAATCACACGCGCCCTGCCCCGCACTTCCGTCGTTGTCGTCGTTTTCTTCACTCATCACACATGATAACCATGGCATACTTGTCACGTAACAACGTGACTACATACCCCGCTCACGATGCGCTCGCGGCTGTTTCGGTAGCCAAATTGGGTATTTCGTGTCGTGAATGGACGGTGAAGATAAGATACGTCCTAACATTATAATCAAGCTATGCTTGTCATAACCATGACTACATGCTACGCTCATAGCGTGCTAGCGGCCATTCCGCTAGCTTCACATGTACGAAATTTGGTATTACGTGGCATGAATGGACGACGAACAAAAATGCCAGGCACAAACATGATAATCATGACATGGAAGTCATGTATGGCATAATTTAGGTCCGCCTCGTAACGTGTGCAGATTTCAAAGCGACATATCAACCTTCCTCAGACGTGCTTCGCATATCATCGATTCCCACTGTACGTGGGATCTGCTTTTTTCTTTTCTTTAAGGAGCGGAGAAACGCCACCGTTCCATTCAGGATCGGTGAAACTGTAACTCGTTCATTTTCGACAGAATAGCAGAGAGAACGGCGTTACTTGCGTAAACGTCCCACGGCATTGAACTGGTGCACGCAAGCGGAACATTATGCAGAACAGGGCCGATGACAACCGCGTGAGCCGCAAAAAGTGTACCACTTCCCTGACACGCAATTTTGCTGCATCCTAGTTTGCACTTCAAGGCGCCCGCCACGCAGAGACCGACAACGTGGAGGGAAAAACCTTTTTTTTTTGTTGTTGTTGTTGTTGTTGTTGTTGTTGTTATTGTTGTTGTTGTTGTTGTTGTTGTTGTTGTTGTTGTTGTTTACAGATTGATTTGATTGATTTGTGGGGTTTAACGTCCCAAAACCACCATATGATTACGAGAGACGCCGTAGTGGAGGGCTCCGGAAATTTTGACCACCTGGGGTTCTTTAACGTGCACCCAAATCTGAGCACACGGGCCTACAACATTTCCGCCTCCATCGGAAATAGTTGTTGTTTACAGGAAAGCTGCTATGCTCGAGGTTTGTCGTCGTGTGTCATATATATACAGAAGGTGTTATCATGAACGGGTACACGTACGATCTCTTCCTCCTGTTTTGCTTCGCTCCCAGAATACTTAAGCAGATATGTCCGGCGTGGTATGACATAACTATGATGTGTGAGAGAACTTGTGCAAAGAGAGATGGATGAAGAGAGAAGTAGGAAAAGAGAAATTTTCGGCTCAAAAAAAAAAAAACTCTTCGCGAGGCGAGATTCAAACCCGTGTACCTATGACATAAGGGTGAACGTCGTAACCACTCGGCTTTCTATTTTTAATGTGGATCATTTCTTTACGTAATGCCTGTCTGTTTGTCCGTTTGTCTGTCCGCCCGTCTGTCTGTCCGTCCGTCTGTCTGTCCGTCTGTCACTATAACATCTTTCTTGATCTTGATGTTTTTTCATAGTCCACAGTAACTGTTTTTATCTCAGTTTCGCACTGTCTTGTTATGGTCTGTCACAATGTATGGACTCTTCCTTTCTCCATCTTTCATGAAGCCTTCTGCAGAGTTGTGTATATTCCACATTGTTTTTCACTCCCATCTTATCATTCTCGTCTTGTCTTTTTATTCTTCTTATTTAGCATCGATCTCTGTCTGCACGTATTCGCTCGGTTTATTTGATTTCTTTATGAGAAGACTGTTTTTTATTTTTATTTTTCTGTGCACCTGCACAAAGACCTTATAGTAGTCTCCTGGGCACGTTGAATAAACAAATTAATAATAATAATAATAATAATAATAATAATAATAATAATAATAATAATAATAATAATAATAATAATAATAATAATAGGTATATTAATTATTATTATTATTATTATTATTATTATTATTATTATTATTATTATTATTATTATTATTATTATTATTATTATTATTATTATTATTATTATTTGCAAAGTTATCTTAGGAGTTTTCCTCAATTCATAATTCAAATCTAAACTCTCTTATACTCAAATTTTCATTTCCGCACCAACTTTTAATCCTGGTGGACTTTGAAATGTAAGACGCATCAGCTTAGCAGACAAAAATCCGGCTAGTTGACGACGAAAAAGCTTCTGAATGACGGGGCCCCGCCGCGGTGGTCTAGTGGTGGCTAAGGCATTCGGCTGCTGACCCGCAGGTCGCGGGATCTAATCCCGGCTGCGGCGGCTGCATTTCCGATGGAGGCGGAAATGTTGTAGGCCCGTGTGCTCAGATTTGGGCGCACCTCAGGTGGTCGAACCTCAGGTGGTCGAAATTTCCGGAGCACTCCACTACGGCATCTCTCATAATCATATGGTGGTTTGAGGACGTAAAACCCGACATATCAATCATTATTCATGACATGGGGTGCGTTGTGGAAAGAGTGTATGGCAGGGCATGTGCTGGGCGTGTGCAAAGTTCCCAACGATGGTTGGGAGTTGCTCGGAGTATTTCAAGCTGAACAGTGGTGCCGCCCGCGATCTCCAACGCTAGCGTTGCTCTCGCTGACTGGTTCACCCTTTGCGATCTCCTGGCGCCGTGCAGCTCTCTCCGTGTGGTGCTCCGTCCTCGGATTTCTTTGACGGGCTCCCATCTTTGCTATCTCCTTCTTTTTGTGCCGCTTCCATTGTCCTATTTCTTTGTCTACACATTTCCACTATTTTTCTTTATCCCCGGACAGAAATTAGGCGCCCCTCTTGTCAAGAATCACTTAATCAACGGTGGTTGTTACGCGGCGCAGAGCCGTCAGCCACGCGCTCGTGTGTTCACCAGCGCCTACCGCTGTACCCAACGGATGCACGGGGCCACGCACCAGCCCTCCTTTTTTTCTTTTTTTAAATGAAGCGATCGGATGTGTAACGATGAGCCCACGGTGCTATGCGCAAATAGCGAAATGTTTAACTACCTTCAAGGAAAAACACCTGTTCTGACAACCATATATCGCCAGGCG